TCATAAATCTAGAGCTCTTGACAGCCCCGACCATTACCCACCATTGTTTAACCACAGCACATTATGTAATGGTCTGCATCAGCAGCTGGCTCTGCCTCTGCACAAACTACTTGACATGAAAAACACAGTCGGCCTCTGTGACTCCTGAATCCCTCTCCCCACTTCTTGCATATAGATTGAACATTAAGATACTAAGTTGTGGCCTTGTAAGGCAGCGAGTGAGAGAAATCATGGCGTGCTTCACTTCAGTGTCAGAGGACGGTGGGAAGAGGACGAGGAGGAAGATACAAGGTCTGCCGAAGCAGTTTAGCTCAACAATTACTGTTGTTCCCACAAAGCAACAAGCGCAGGAGGCATTCGGTAACAAATAAGACTGTCACTAACTGTGTCTCAATTCAGAGGCTGCAGCCTTCAAAGGACGCGGCCTTCACAGTCGACGTCAGCCATGTCCTTTGAAGACGCATCAGTCAAACCGAATGGTCTCTGAATGGGAGTTGTTCTCGCCCCAACCCATTGGTGTTCCTGTTACCTAGCAAACAGCTGCGCTTGACCAAAGGAGTAAGCTAGTAAGTTAGTCTGTTAGCCCTAAATCATGGACCCACACATAGTTATTATATATAGTTTTTATTGAATACTTGAGGAGGTGATTCACCACCAGAGACACCGTCGTGAGATATATTTCAGGCTGATGGAGTGTTTTCAGGTGAACGTATTAAATCAAGATTGTTTAAGCTGTGTGCTTTTAGCTAACGTAATGTTAACAGTTAACCGTTAGCTAGTTAAAACTTGTTAGTTCACTCAATATATAATTGTCACTGGCGCCAAACGCTTCTTCAGTCATCTGTTGCATCCTCCAAATTCTGGGAAAGAAGGCTGCATTTGAAGGAGCCTTCGAAATGGGAAGGCCTTGGTCGAACCAGTTGGACACAACTGATCCACAAATGTAGCATTCGAAGGCTGTAGTGCCTGAACTGAGACACAGTTATAGCGTTCTGGTTTTACTGGTAGTTCACAAGAATTCAATTAAATTTAACTGTTTTGTTGTAAAAGAAAAAGCAAAAATCTGATTGTAATGTGATTGTACCGTTTTCCCAGTGTTGAACTGTTTCTGGGACGAGTAACTTCCTGGAGACAGTTGCCCAGCAACCAGCAGAGACCCCGTAAAAATGCTGAAATGCTTATTTTACACTTTTATTAAACAAACGACATGTAACATGTTAGTGTAGTACACTCTGGAGGTGTTAGCTTTAGACAGAACCACACTAGCTGTTTCTACCCCTTTCCAGTCTCAATGCTAAGCTAAGCTAAGCTAAGCTAACCAGCTGCTAGCTATAGCTCCCTATTAAACTCAAGCCCCTTTTACACTTCCTGTTCAAGGCGGGAATGTTGCGCTGTTCTGTAAAAAGGTACGATCCTTTTTACCCGTAGGTAAAAATCTACCTACAAGCATAAATAAAGTAACCTGAGCCTGAACCTGAACCTGAACCTGGGGGTACAGAGTTGTCTCACCTGAACGCTGGCAGTCGAGGTCATAACGGTGCAGAAATGACGTCTGTATTCGAGGGACTCATGCTTCAGCTCAGGGGTCGTATATGTAACTGTGCTACTACGTTAGCTGCTGAGGAGTCTGAGTCTGTAGCTGTGCGGCAGCTCGTTCTTTGGCTCGGTGTGTTTTTATCCACCACTCTGTCTCACCATCACCCACATAATTCACAGCAAAACTAAAATGGCTCCAAACAGCAGACCTGTGGGTGGAGGATCTTCTTTTCTGTTCTGGTAATGGCGTTACTAACCACCTTATAACAAGCTAGCTTAGCGTAGCAGCCTCCCAGTGTGCCTCAGACAGCACGTCTCTTGTTCCGTCTTGTTGGTTCCTTGTTGAGAACATTATCAAACACAGTTTAAGATGTATAATTTTTTTTTTTTTAACGTAATAGGATAGTTAAATGTAGTGTTTGGGTTGCAATGCATACTGCGCTGAAAGCCTTGTATCAAATGGTTCGATACGAATGCATGTAATACGATATTATCATGATACTTAGGTCACAATATGATATTATTGTGATATGCTGAGTATTGTGGTATTGCAATATATTGCAATTTATTACCTTTGTCGACATCAGTTTTACCTCTTAAGATAAAGTTTTCAGTCTGTCCAGTGTCAGTTGATTTTTCGGGAGAGCGGGTTTAACGTTAGCTTGTTAAATCTCATGTGTCATATCCAAGTCCTCCTTCTGTGTTAAAAAAATCCAAAATAAGTCCAGATGTTTGAATTAAACGCTGACGCCACATTTCTGTCTCCGGTGGGTGCCTCCATCTTTGTTTTGATGAACTTCCTGCCAAATGCCGCTAACTGAGACGTCTGCTGACCTCACCAGGACTGAAAACATCAGCACCATCTAGTGGACTGAAAAAGAAACTGATTTTATTATTCTAGCACCAAAAGTTGTATTAAAATGTGCATTTGCAAAAATTAATGACGTATATAATAAAAGATCGACACTCACTATGCTGTATTTCTTAACAGGCCTTTATGTTGGTGTTAGCATGTCTCCATCTGCTGGGTTAACAATAATTTGACTCAGAGCACTAATTACTTTAGTGACTTATTATCTGTTATTTATATATAATAGTGAATTTATTGGTTTGATGTGAAGTTTGTTTGGATTTTCATTAACGTAAAAAAAAAAATCAAACTTAATTATATTTAAGAATTCTTCTTAATGAGTCTGATAACATGGACGTATGAGGCTTATCCCGATTATGATCATATTCATGTGTCTCATAAACAGAATAAAGTGTTTACGTGCTCAAACACAACGCAGACTTTTGTTGCTGCTAAGAAAACTTTTTAAAGTGCGGCTGTAACTTTGATACGTAACGTCTGAGCCTGCAGGAGTTTCGTCCCTCTGCAGAGCAGCAGTTTGGTTTTTGGCTCAATGCTGAGAAAACAGGCGCTGTCTCCGAGGTTATCAGGTTATCAGCACATAAACACATTAATGCTGCACAGACTCACCCTCACACCCTCCTCCATGATATTCATGGTCAGAATAAAGAGAAGGTTAAATCAATATTAAGGTGAGGAGGAGTCGCTCAGAGGTCATTAGATGTGTCCCAGAAATGTTCCTCTGTCACTATTAATCAAAGGTAATTCAAATGGTTTTATTCCAGCCTCTTTAAATGTGAGGATTTGCTTCTGATTTAAATCAGTTTATTTTATTGTAAATTTCATATATTCAGTTTTCTTGATTGTTCAGATGAAACCAGACGGCTGAATTTCCCTTCAGGGATGAATAAAGTTTTTTCTATTATATTCTTAAAGACGTCACGTTGAACTGTTCTCACTCTACATAATAACGTTGTCTTGCTTTGACAGAGTGACGAGGAAAGATGCAGCGCAAACAAGTTGATGTTAACTGCAGCAAAAACAGTTTATAAACTGTATTAGTATATAAGTGGGGTTGTAGAGGTGGATCAGTGTTGAGGTAAACTGTGATATGACGGTTATACCATGTACATTTATTCATCTATGATACAGAGAATCTCACCTGCGCATGTGCGTCTGCTTCCCTCCTCGACTGTCAGACTTGCTGTTTACACATACTTCTATTTTTGTAAAAAGGTTTCTAGTTTCACATAAAGTGCTTGATCAACAACAAGTAAAAATAATAACGATAATAATGAGAAGAAGAATTGCGTGATTCTGTTATCACAAAATGAAAACAGAAGAGTGTGACTGCAAAAGCTTAAAAATAAAAATTACGACATATACTTTCCCTCCCTTTGTCATTTCTTCTTTTCCCTTTATTTTACTTTAATTATTCTAATGATTCATTTATAAAATTATCATCCACAGTCCTTTACAGCACGATGAAAAAGATGATTTAAAAACTTAATTTGAATTTATTAAGACTTTTTTCAGTCCACACTCAGAGACACATGAGACCCTAAAAAAGAGGCTGGATCATGGGGAGTACCACCAGTTGGTCCAGGAGCTTCTCCTCCATCATGGACGTTTACAGGCAGATTTTAGGAAGACTCAGGGGCAGTTTGACAACCTGCTGTCTATCATCAGGCCGTATAGCTCTGGGTATCCAGCAACCACTACCACCAGTTTCTCCTCCATTGTTTACCAACTGATAGCGCTTTTCAGCTCTGAGTTGAGGTTTTTTCAACTTGTTCAGAGCGCTCCAGCAAAAACGCTAGGTGCCCAGAGCGCAGAAACTCGAGGCGCGTAGCAAAAACAGCGAGCAAAAAGTTTAATTCTCATTTAAACTATTAAACTTTTACAAAAAGCCGCCTCCAGCTGCTGAAACACTTTCTGTGTGTTGGACGTAACGTCATTTGTGGGCGCTTATTTCAAGGATATCATATGAAACGTTCTGAGGACACGTTGCACTTATGACTATGTGCTAACATGCATGTATCGACTGGTCATATGATCAAATGGAGACGTGACATTTGACATCATCAACATACATATTACCCAGAAATCCTCACTGCACAGCTGTACAGGTGTAATTAAATCATTTTTATAGTTTATATGTTCCATAGTGTATGTGGAATATGAATTTAATTTGTTGTAGATTTCTACTGACTGTTACAGAGATGTGTTTGTGTTTTGGAGCACAGATATAACAAATGGCTCCATTTTTAATTTCCTCACATTATTTTGTTCCTCTGTGAACACAGGTTGATTTAAAATAAAATGCATTATTATTATGATTTATTATTATTTCTGAGGTGGCAACCTGAATCACTCTGTGCCAACCCCCCCCCCCCCCACAGCCACTCTGTCTGTCTGTACGGCCCTGGATCCAGCAGATTTCCCCCTGCAGATTCCACTCTGTGTTGTTAGATGGGCGGGAGGGAGGAGTGTGTGTGTGTGTGTGTGTGTGTGTGTGTGTGTGTGTTGGGGGGTGGGGGGGTCTCTGGTCTCGGGGGGCAGGAGCCTTTATAAGAGGCTGAGTCTGCAGCGGTGTCGTTGGGTTTGAACCTGCAGCTGCCGCGCGTCACGAGTGGAAACATAAGCGTGGATTTTATTTTTGTCGGTGACTCCTGTCCGGTTCCCTCTCCGCGCGCCCCGGTGATCCTCCCACACATGTGGAGGTAACCTCAGAGTTTGACAGCCACTGTGTCTCCGGCGGTGACGGCAGCGCACCGGCGGGCAGCCAGCTCCGTGCGCCCGGAGGAGACGCGGCCAGCATGCTGTGCGCCTGGCAGGACTCGTGGAACATGACGGACACAAACTGCAGCGACGGGTTCAACTTGACGCATCAGCCGCAGCCCGGCACCACCGCCGCCATCATCATCGGGAGGAGGAACGACACCGACCCGTTCGGACGGAACGAGGAGGTGGCCAAACTCGAGATCACCGTCCTGAGCCTCGCCTTCGTCGCGGCAGTGGTGGGCAACGTGAGCGTGCTGCTGGCCATGTACAAGACCCGGCGGAAACCATCGCGCATGCACCTGTTCATGAAGCACCTGAGCCTCGCGGACCTGGTGGTGGCCGTGTTCCAGGTGCTGCCGCAGCTCTGCTGGGAGATCACCTTCCGCTTCTACGGCCCGGACTTCCTGTGCCGCATCGTGAAGCACCTGCAGGTGCTCGGCATGTTCGCCTCCACCTACATGATGGTGATGATGACCCTGGACCGCTACATCGCCATCTGCCACCCGCTGCAGACGCTCCAGCAGCCGAACCAGCGCGCGCACATCATGATCGGCTCCACGTGGGCGTGCAGCCTGGTGCTCAGCACCCCGCAGTACTTCATCTTCTCCCTGAGCGAGGTGCACCCCGGCTCGGGCGTCCACGACTGCTGGGCTCACTTCATGGAGCCGTGGGGGCTGCGCGCCTACATCACCTGGATGACGGCGGGGATCTTCCTCGTGCCCGTGGCCGTGCTCGTGTTCTGCTACGGACTCATCTGCCGCACCATCTGGAGGAACCTGAAATATAAGACCCGGACGAGGAGGACGGTGGCGGAGGCCAACAGGAGCGGGATGCTGGGCCGGAGCTCCGTGAGCAGCGTCAGCACCATCTCGCGCGCAAAATTACGCACGGTGAAGATGACTTTCGTGATCGTGCTGGCGTACGTGGTGTGCTGGGCGCCTTTCTTCACCGTACAGATGTGGTCAGTGTGGGACAAGACCTTCTCCTGGCACGGTGAGTCACACTCCACAGACTCCACACACAGTCACTCCGATATTAGAAATAACCTGAGTCCAGAAACACTCTCAGACAGGAGTCCACATTGCTCCGGACTCTGCAGCGCTTCACTGAACCCGAGAGGAAATCTGTGCGGCAGGTGAAGAAACAATAAAATAACCGATTTGAGGCCTGAAGACAGAAAAGTCTGACAGTAATTCCTTCTTATCCAATACAGTCACCTGGTTGGAAATTAAGTGAAAGATATTTCGGATTATATTTTTATTTTAGACATCATGATACTTTTATTTGCTCCTAACACATTTAATAAAAACAAAATGACCAATAAAGATCAAAGTTTCTGCCTTTAAATTAACTTTTAATTCTAGACTGATGTCAGTTTTAGATGTTTGATTTATAAATGAACTGAAATCAATACGAGTCATATAAATAAAATCCTCAGACTCTCATCTATAATCTGTTTTTATCAATCTGATTATTTAAAGAAAATGTCACAACTTACATCACTGTAGTGTGTTTATTAACTATTTAATTAAATTCTAACTGTTGAAACAGTGCAGATGTGTTGACTTTAATTCCAGCGTCCAGCTGTGAATAAATGTTTCCTCACAGCTGATTATAACAATCTGTGAAATCTGCACATTTCACTGTTCATGCTGAGATTTTCAAAGTAAAAGCAGGTGTTATATGTCACTGACTGGAAGCCTAAAAATACTGCAGTACAAACCGAGATATAAACTTTTTCTTATATAAAGTTTCACAATTTACTTTGAGAAGTTGGTCAAAGTTAAAAACATTTTTAGTAAGGCGAAATTTAAATAAATAAATTGGAACATCTGAAATAGTTTGACCACTAAATATCAACACAACTTTTGGATAAATATTAAGTTGATTCAACTTTATTAAGTTTTTCAGGTCAAATGAAATCACGTGAGTTTGTCAGATTATAAAAGACTCATAGGATTTACTCAATAATCTCAGAGTTAGCCTACTTAAAAACGTGTGTGCAAAGTGTTTCTTTAATTTTTTTAAGCTGAAGCAGTAGATTGTTTACTTTAGTGATCCCTCACTGCCCCTCTCGTGTTCGCCACCGCACGTTAACATTTAATTTTCAGCTGATGTAAACGTCCTCAGCTCTAAACCAAAGTATCGGACACATTAAATTATGACCTGATGATGGCGCTAGCTGAAAAGTCAGAGGAGTTATTAAGTTTCACTGAAACATCATCCAGCCAAAACCTCCAACGTTTCTCACTAAAATATTTACACTTCTTCTAAACTGTGAATTAAAAACCAGGTGTGTGAGATCACTATGCAAAAGGGGGAGTAGAAAATATTACATAAACTCTATTAATTAAAAGCCAAACATCTGTAGTTTAATGTTTATCTTATCTTTATTTCTCTGTTATAATTAATTTTACTAAATCATGGTTTCTCCAGTGTTTAAAGAAGTGAAATCTGTTTTTTTTAATTTTTCAATTTTTATTTTAATAAATCGTGTTTTTTATCTGCACTCTGGGGCACATCAGTCAAACTACTGTTGGTTTATTCATTTTGAGAATGTTTTTAATCTGTTTTTCATTTACTTATATCCATTAACGTTTCATAAAACTATAAAATGTGGCAGTGAGGTCGTTCACAGTGAAGAAGAGGAAATATTTCAGTTTCATGAGTCCAAACTTTCCCAAAGATTAAATTAATATTCATTTTTTATTGGAGTGCGACATGTGCAGTCAGTGTGCTGTTCATATGATGGAGTTGAGGACATAAAGTGAGAACCAGCCTGAAGGAGCTGCTGCTGCTCAGCCACCTGCACAATTTCATTACACTGAGTCATGAGCGTCGAGCTGCTGCTCCCAGGCACCAGATTCATTTTCAGATGAACAAGTTTCATCCTTCTTTTTTTGGGGCAGAAAAACTGTCAGAACTGAAGATGCTGTAAAGCACCTTAAAACCAAAGATATTAAAGGTACAGAGCTGTGCTGTGGCTGTCTGCACACTGTGTTCAGTGAGGGGGGAGTCGACCAATCAGCAGCCAGACAGGAACATGAATGAGCTGTGTGTGTACCTAACAACCAATCACAGATCCCTGCTGTTTGTCCAGGAAACTCCTCCTGCGTTTTCATCCTCCTTCATTTAACGAATTATTTTCTCAAAATACACAAAACAGTTTATCCCCGAGCAGAGTCCTGAACGGGTCACTGTTTTCTCTCCTGTGTTTATGAATGAAGGCGCTTTCACACCGCCGTGTGGGAACTCACCACCTACAGTTATTTCAATGAGGGGAAGCAGTTTCCAACACAGTGGTATGAAGCAGTTGACGCCCACATGCACGTGCACAGATCTTGCTGTGCCGTGCAGAGTTCACCATGCTGAACTTCTGGCGGTTGCCACCTGGCTTTGGCTGATCAATAAGCATCAGGACAACCAGAAGAAAAACATGTCCACCAAACTTTGGACGCTAAGCTAGCTCACACTTCTGCAAGTGTTCACTGAAGTATCGGCCTGACATCGCAGCCGTGGACCGTAACAGCAGGAGCCGTTTCTTAAAACACCTTGCTTTTAGGGTGAACACTGTTGCAGGTCAGTGGTTGTCAGGGCAGTTACTATGCAGTGGTGTGAAAGCAGCTTTAACAACAGATGAAAAAAAAAGAAGTTCTGGCATGTGAGATTTTTTTTCAGGATCATTTTCAAAGTGTTTGCTGCTATACTCATTTTGGCCACAAGGGGCTGACGTGCACTACGAGCCCATGTTCCTTTAACCCGGTCTCACTCTGACTCTGAAGTCATCGAAATCACGTCGGCATGATTTGGTTCTGGGCAGTATGGCCTAAAATCAATATCACGGTATAATTTTGGGGGGAATGCGGTGACGGTATGATATCGCAGTATCTTCTTCTCTCTATTTTTTTTTTTTTACACCTTAAATAAAACAATTTAAAAAGCCATACAAGTCTAGGATGGAAACTATTTATTGTCAGAAGTGAAACGGTTGCTAATCCATCTATTATTGTGTATAAAATGTTATACAGTATGTATAAATGTTAGAGGGAAGGCCGCTCCCGGGCCGGGTCGGCCAGGCCACCTCCATCACGTAGCGAGGGAGGTGTGTGAGGCAGGCCGTTTTTTTTTTTTTGTTTTTTTTTTAAACCCAACCTCGTGTGTGAATTGTTGAAGGAAAAAAACGTCAATTCACGATGTTTTCTTTAGTGTATAATCAGCTGAAAATAAGAATCACTGTGTTTTCGTTACCTCAGAATGAGACATTTATATCTACACAGGGAGCAGGTCCTCGTCGACAGAGATCACCATGTTGCACCACCATGTTCTACAGTAGCCCAGAACGGACAAACCAAACACTGACTCTAGATAGAGACATCTGTATTTACGTTACAGCATCACATCTAGATGCCCTGAAATCCTACATACTAAACCTTTAAACCACTTCAGCCTCTTGAATCACGACGATAAACACTTTGAAAAATAGTTCTAAAAAAAAAAATCATACCAAAACTTTTTTCACCCTTTCTTTAAAGGTGAAAAAAATTAAATAATAATAATAAAAAAGATAAAATTTGAAAAAAAAAAAAATCAGATAAAAAAGTAACTGATAAAACTTATTTTTTCACCTGTAAAAACTTTTCTTGCTCTCATGTTTCAGAGATGACCTGCTTCAGTCATGAACTGAAAATGAGACTCAGAAAATGGATGACCAGAATTTATTTTCTCACTTGCCTCTCAGGGCTTCAATAGAAAAGTCTTTTATGAGGACTAACTGATGTGTTTATCAAACGTGACACTGCCTCTGATCGTGACTCTGACTGGAGTTACTGCTGTGTAAACTTCTCCGAATCCAATAAAGACCAGAAACTCTGACACTAACCAGTACCAGCTTCCACAAAGGCCTGAATATCAGACAGAGAAGAGTTTTAACCAGCGGTCACTTTAGAAACTAGTTCTCAAATGAATGTGTAATGAGCCATTTACCATAATTTGAAGGTACATTTTTTATACGAGCAGCACAGAGATGTGTTTGAGGATCGTCTGTCAGCAGCTGATTTCTGTAACAGCGTCAAATCTTCATGGTCCAAAGTGAAACTGTGCTGATTACAGGCTCACACAGGGCCTGAGTGGAGGATAAACATTTAGGGGGCAGGTCAGTGACTCAGAGCTGCAGTACGACTCCCTCCAGAGAGAGTGAACACCTCAGATAAGTTGTTGACATGTTGGAGCGTGCCTCATGAATGATGTGTGTTTCCCTGCAGACTCTGAGAACACCACGGTGACGCTCACCGCCCTGCTGGCCAGCCTCAACAGCTGCTGTAACCCCTGGATCTACATGATCTTCAGCGGTCACCTCCTCTCCGACTTCGCCAGCAGCCTGCCGTGCTGGCGCTCGCTGAGGGGAAAGTTAGGCCACCGGGATTCTGACAGCAGCATCCGCCGCACCACGTTGCTGTCCCGCCTGCAGGGCCCGCGCCTCTCTGAGCCGTTCAGAGACCTCAACCCTCCTCCCAAAAACTGTCCACAGGTCCCATCTGTGTCTTGACCGCTGGGAACACTGCTGTGTGTCTGATTGGCTAAAACGACACAGAAAACATGAGCTGGTCTCAATCTGCTGGTTCGTAGCAGCGACGGAAGGTATGACCTCATCTGAGGGTGCGGTCACGCCTGCAGCTTGTTTTCTTTGGTCCGATCCAGAGTGGAAACGTTTACTCTGTGGCAAATATTTGCTGTTTGTTTCTTAAGCTGTTGGAAAAGAGCTCTAATCACTCTCAGTCTGCAGGGTCAGAGAATTCAGGGGTTAAACAGAAACAAATCCACTCACTTTAAACTCAAGTGTTTTCCAGCCTGGATCCTCTCCTCACATGTTTCTGTGTTTAAGAGACTGACGGGAACAAAAACGCTTGAAACTGGTCCAGTGCAGTGATGTCAGTGTTGGTTCATTATGCTTTAAATAGTCCGACACCCATCAGCTGCTAACTAACCAGCTAAAATGATGTGAAATACCAGACAAATGTCCATTTAATGGGCGCTCCACTGACTCACTGACCAGCGTCGCATTTCAAAGTCCTATCTTTTTAGACGTGGCGACAATTTGATGTTTTGTGATGTAAATGTTTTGCCCAGCTAGCTGTGTTAACATGAAAACATAGTGCCCAGTGCCCACCCTCCAGTCTCCACTGGTTAGCTAACGTTAGCCTTGAACACTATGCACTCACGCAGCCGGGTTGGGTGGGAGCTAACTAGCGGCGCCACAGCAATACCAACCATAATGGTATTGCTGCAGAAACATGAGCTCCTTTTACACTGCCAGATTTTCGGCGAATGCTGCGAGCGTTTAGACACACAGAGCCGGATTGGCGAGTTGATCCGAGGTGCCCAATTTTCCTCCTCGTAGGGTAGACATATTGGTGGAACCCTTTTAGTGTAAACAGACAGAGGCGGCCTTCTGCAACAGGAGGGGCTGTTGATGACTTGTGGGAGGAGCTGTTGATGACGCCGCACATGTGAGCCACTGGCGGTGGATAAACAGGAAACAGCTGACAGACACTGTAAAGATGATCAACTGGGGAGACAAGGAATTGCGCGCCCTCCTTGTCCTCGCAAACGAAGAGGCCATTAACCGTCAGATGACGGGGACGGTGAAGAACGGGCCGACTTAAGAGAGAATCACCGAAGGACTGACCAGCCGCGGCTTCCCTCCCACGTCACTGTTTACGTCACACGCTGAGCTACATGTTTTGTTACTTGCTCACGCCCCCCATTGCCACGAAAAAGGCACATTCTGTATAAACAAAAGTAGATAGGCGGCATTTTGCTGCACTCCCCGATTTTGTTTTTATACTGCCAATGCTGAAAAAAGACTGATTGGGCTTTCCTGCAAATTTGCACAATTCTAAACAGGGCTGTGGTGGTCACCCTCCAGTGTCCCCCCGGGTTGCCGATGAGTAAGCAGCTTCATTTTGATTCGCAAACCCTCTTTAGTATTGTCAACTCTGTTAGCACCACGAGCTGTGCTAACACTGCTAATGGTGCTAACAGAGTTTTTTCACAGCCTATTTTAACTGAAAACTGTGTGTGTCATGTGGGAGAAACAGGCGAGGATTTCACGGGTAGTGTGGACCAGACGTTAGAATAACAATCTGATCCTGTCAGTGACAAAAACAAACCCTGTTAGTGGACGGACACTGACGGTGTGAACAGAGTGGTTACATTACAGCCTGTTTCACTGCTGCAGCCTCATCAGTCACTGAGACACAGGAACATGGGGAACAGAGTGCAGGCTGAAACGTACTGACGGCAATCTTTATCTGTTATTAGCATGGTGGTCTTGTCTGCACTCTTTGCTGTAGTTGAGCTTCTTTAGAACTGAGATTCATTTCGTGACGCATGAGGAAACTGCTGCTTTCATATGTCAACATTCTCTTTATACCCATGAACCCTGGTGCTGTCGGGCTGTTTCCTGTGGATTTTCAGATTACAGTCAGTGAGTAAACTTTGTAAAAAGGAGCCAACCTCTCCCACATTTTGACCACAGAGCTAGTTACGAAAATGATGTGGATGTGACGACTGACGGGACCAAGTCAGAGCCGCTCTGTTCCCGTCTGGGTCGGCCAGTGTTGACGCCCTGCAGATAAAATCAGACACTGTTTGATATTTAAAGAGTCTAATCTGAAGTCTTTAGGTTCAGTCGCTGCAGGTCGTTTTCATAAAGATTATTTTAAACATGTTTGGTATTTGATATCACCATCATACATCAAGCTATCCAAATATATATCTCTAAGTTTAAGGAATTACACACATGCACAGAAATGATTTACAGCAGAGTTGCTACACTTTTTAAAAGGTACTGGGGCTGCAGCTCATGGCTTTTCTCCCGATCAATTAAGTTATTTTTGTAATTATTGATTAATGTTCGGTCTATAAAACGTCAGAAATGTAAGCAGAGAGATTTTCCAAAAACAAAGTTTACATACTCAAATCCTTTGTTTTGTCCAACCTTCAATCAGAAACCCGAAAGATGCTCAGTTTACTGTCAGAGAAGACAAAGACAACCAAATATTTATAGTAGACAAGCTGGAAAAAGGGAATTCTGGGTAAGCCTCTTTAAAAAACAACTTAAACAACAAACTAGAGTCACTGCCCCGCAGTTGTATCTCTGTGGAGCCACGACAGCTGACTTCACACACAGAAGATCTGACCAAATGTCTCCTCTTCTGTTCCTGAGATATGGGGCTCTAGTTTTGCAGACTGGGCGCAGCAGGGGCGCAGCGCACCTGCGCTTCGCCAACTGGGTGTGGCCAGGTGGATTTTTTAAGTTTGGCACACCGTGCGCGTTGGCGCAGCTACTCCTCTTTCCCACCTCCGTCCCTCCTACCTGCGCAAGTCGGAAAGAGGGAGGAGAGAAGGCGTGGAGTGGGTTTTACACACATCACACCAATCAAATGAGCCCCTCTCCTCGCCCTTAAATGTGCCGCGCGAAGGTGTAATGAGAGTTTACTCAATTCTCCATGGCAGAAGAGAGCAGCAGCGTCAGACGGCCAAACTTCTCCCAGTAGGAAACTGATGTTTTGGTCCGGGAGGTCCAAGCTCGCAGTGTCCGAATATACGGAACTGCGAGCAGACCTCCACGGGCTGATGATGCAAAGGTAGCCTGGGAGGAGGTCACCACAACTGTAAATCAATGTTGTGTTTCTCTTGTGTGCGCGTGCTCTCTCTTTCTCTCTCGCAGTCTCACTCTGTTTCTTTTCTTTTGACTTTTCTAAGATGACAGATGCTGAATATATACTCCCTATCTGATGCTGTGGCTGTTTGTGGTTGGCTGAGAGGGATGTGAACTCATTAGTTTGCAGCTGTGTTAATCAAATCAGGTTGGGTGAGATACATTTATGTGCTGATTGCAGATAGTTACATTGAAATAGTGGTTTTGTGGCTATTTATTGCATCGTTAATGTGCCTGATATTATGGAAACCTGCCTGTGAGGTTTTGGTGGCGTGTGCGCACTGTCCGCCGGTCAGCCAAACTTCGGCTTACACTGGCTGCGTTCTGCCTGCGCTGACAGTAGACCTGGTTTCAGATGGCGAGCTTTTAGCGCACCTTCGGCGAAGCCTTTTGGCACGAAACTCACTGCGCCAAGCTGGCCCCCTGCTGCGCCACCACACCCATCTCAGCGCACCTCGGTCTGCCAAACTACCAAACTGAGCGTGCCTCGGGTTGCGCTGCTTGAAACTAGCTCTGCGCGGGGTTTGCCACCCTGCGCCACCTGCGCTGCGCCGGGAAACTAGAGCCCATGACGTTAAAACATGATGATGTCACAGTCAGGCTGACGTTTGACCTTTTGACCTTCATTATTTTATCCTGTTAGACATTTGTGTCAAGTTTGGTCAGAAAGTGGATGAATTCTTCAGTTATGGCCAAAAACATATTTATGAGGTCACACTGACCTTTCACCCCCAAATTCTAGTCCATTCATTCTTGAATAAAAGTGGACGTTTGTGCCAAATTTGATTAAACTCCTGCAAGACCTCCTTCAGATATTGCATTCATAAGAATGAGATGGATGCAAGTTCAAAGTGCCCTTGACCTTTGACCACTAAAACATAATCAGTTTATCGTGGGTCAAACTGAACGTTTGTGCCAAATTTAAAGAAATTCACTCGATGTGTTTTTCAGATTTCACATTCACAAGAATGAGACAGAGGAGGTCGCGGTGATCTTTGACCACCGAATTCTAATCAGCTCATCGTTGAGTCCAAGTGGACGTTTGTGCCAAAGTTGAAGAAATTCCTTGAAGGTGCTTTTGAGATTTTATGTGCACAAGAAAGGGGCAGAAAACCGGAAAACACGATGCCTCCGTCCATGGCTATCGTCAGCGCCGAGGCATAAAAACACTTTCTAACGACTGAACTCTGAAATGCTCGAAGATTATTTTCTATCAGCTCTAAAACGTGCAGAGTCTCCTCTGTTTCCACGTCACAGTGTTACAGTTCAGTTTGTGATTAAATGTCCTGGACTGTTTTTATTTTTACAGTCGTACAAAGTTATACTGAAGTTAATATGAGCTGATTCACATCGTGTAAATTATTATCAGCTGATCACTGTGGCTTTAAATGGAAGTGAATAATAAAGAAAACTAATTTAATGTTTAATAAAGTTTGTTAAAGGTTGTTCAAACTGCACTTTGTTTAACAGAAACAGCATAAACCCTGTGAACACACACACACACACACACACACACACACACACTCCTCAGAGACTCATTCCCAGCTGTGTTGTTGTTGCTGTAAAGATGTTTTATCACTGTAATGTTTTCTGTCATCTATATATTGTTGTAAAATATATATACTGCACATGTTGTAAATAAAAATAAATGTTCTGTATCCTCACATGACTGTGACTGTGCTCTGTTTGCACACACAGAAACACGAATTTGGAAGTGTCCACGCTCAGCAGTCAGACAGGAGTCAGGTTAATCTCCAGGGCTGGTACCTGCGGTTATTCCACAGGCTAGTTAATAACATGTCGGGCAGGAAATCCAAAGTGTGGGATCATTTTGAGAAGGTGAAGGACGAACCCAAGGTGATATGTAAACTCATCTTCATTGGTCGACTACAAACATGACGTATCATCTGAAACATGGAAGTAGCTACATGCCCATTAGCCCACAGCGTCATTAACAGGCGGCTCGCTCAGTGTGTTAACTCACCGTTGTTAGTCAGTGACGTTGCTAGGTACGTATTCTGCGTCCCTGGTGCGTCATGATTTCACTATTCAAGGAAACACAAATTTGCAGACAATAAGGTTGTAGTTTAAGATTCATAAAATACACCAGAATTCACGTATATGTAGGACCATATGTTTTTTCCAGACCACAGAGCCCCTCCCTCAACAAGTCACAGTCACCACAGTTAACACACTTAAATTGAGCACCCTGCAAAGCAGCATCACGTCTCTCTGTGACCTGTCTTCATGGACAACCAGGTGACAATAGTGTTTATCCTCAGCCTTGGTATTGTTTGTTACTGATGTGAGATTAAACCACTTTTAAAACATCTCATACAGCCAGTCTAATTAAGGCAGAACCCACCATTAGCTAAACAACAAGCTAGTCTGGCGTCAAACCACACCGTCTCCCTCCAACTCTCTGATTCCAGTTGTTTGCTTTCTTACTTCTACGTGTCTTTAAAAACCAAAACTCAAATCAAAATAATGTTTACATCTTCCACACCACGGCTCTGATAATTCATTTAAATAAATCTGACATGCAGTTTGGTGCTGCACACGTCTTGTGCCACAAGCGTAGAGAAGGAGGAGAGGAGTGTAAAGCTGCAGACGTCTGC